CACATCTTTACATACGGTGCTAAGCAGTGCCGCCTCCAGGTCTCTGATCTCATTGTGGCGTTGTATCACAAATCCGCCATTTCTGCAGGTCATCGCATGGTCCACGTCAAAGATGTCACCACAGACGCACCGGTTTGGGATGTCAGAGAATTCCCAATTATATCTCAGCTTAAGGGCATCTCTAAATTCTCCTTTATTGAGATCGTATCGTAGGTCTTTTAACGGGATGATAGCGAGCCAACTGGAGGCACCTCTCTCTGATGCTTGTTCTTTCACTATGAGCGAGTTCGGTGTTAACATGTTCTTTACCCTCACTTCAGATTCTTTCAGGGCCTCACGTTTCTTAGCTATTGCCTGGGACTTTGCAGCATTGATATCTGCTTCATCTGGAGTGAGGTGATCTTGATGTATGATACGCCGAGTCCAGTAACAGTTGCCGAGACTTCATACTCTTGAGATGCCAATTCTACAGGGTTTGCGATTCCAAGTCCGCCCAAACGCACTGAGAGAGCAAGTAGGTTGCGCTCTTCTTCATTGATTTGATGATCTGCAATGGCAGGAATTAAAAGATTTGCTGTAGCATTCTCAAGTGGCTCAAGTAGATCACTTATATCAGGTAGAGTTCTTAAGAAGTAAGTCCAACGATGACGCAGTCCTACGGTGAATACAGCGTAGCATGCCTGAGGTTGGGAAACGGCGAATTCCGCAAGCTTCGTTACTTCGTTAACCCAGTCTTCTACTTTGTCTCCGACGTATTCTTCTAAGAAGGCCCTAGATCCTAAAACTGCACCAAGGTGCTTTTGTTCTTCGGACGTCACGTTAATTTCCGTGTCAGCAAACACTGCCTTTGCAGCACTTTCTTTCTCCGGCTTGGTTTCGTTTCCACTTTTCAGTCCTGCGCATACTTGCAATGAGCCATTAGCTTCAATAACATCAGACTTTATTACCCTTGTGACGCACTTCCCGATGATCTTGCGCAGTATCTCCCCAACACCAATTGGTCGGACTGCACTTTTGGCATTCGAAAAGTGGCCTAGCCGAGGCCCACTTTCAGAGAGCACATTCCAACACTTTATGACTTCAAGAAGTGAACCACTTCTAGCAGCATCGTCGGCGAACCAGCATTGCTTAGTTGCGCTAGAAACTTCTAGTTGTGTGATGAGTGGCTGGAGACTGATAGCGTACAGACTCATTGCCAGTGGATTCCCTTGTGTGGTGCCCTCAACAGATTCCAATTTTTGACCACCAATAACAAAAAGCTGCACAGGTTGTCTGTAAGTATTAATAGCGTATATTGCCATTGGAGGACATAATACTCTAATATTGTGTAGTGATGCAGATCTGTTTAAGGCATTAAAGGCATTAAAGGCATCAATCAATAAGACTGCATCTGTGTCATCAGCTTCGAAGATGGTTCGCATAGCATGGATAGTGGCTTCGTTTCCACTTTTCAGTCCTGCGCATACTTGTAATGAGCCACTAGCGTCAATAACATCAGTCTTTATTACCCTTGTGACGCACTTCCCGATGATCCTGCGCAGTACCTCTCCAACACCAATTGGTCGGACTGCTCCTTTACCCTAGTCAAGAGGTATTAGACGGCTTGAGAGTAACACCTCAATGCTGCTGGGGTCCACGTACTCCGTACATAGTCTTCTGGCCAACAGAGCGGCGGAGAACATCACAAAAATCTTTGCCAGACTTAACATGATAGAATTCTTCCAAACCCGTCAGCATCAACTCCATAGGGACCTCTGGAGCCGTTGGTCCTCAGTGCAGCCTCGCGCACCATCTCACCATCAATTTCAAGGAATAACGTGGTTGGGACCTCCTCAATTGGACCAAAAAGTAAGGATCCCAATCGCCTTATGACGTCATCGCTGAGAGGAAGTATCCCTCCACCATCGTCACTAATGATATATGCAATAATAATAATAATAATAATAATAATAATAATGATAATAATAATAACCATTAAGTAATCCAGCAGACTTATGACTGCCCTAGGCTCATGGATTGAACTCGGCACC